GTTGGAGATCTTGTGCCAGGATCCCCGAACTGTACACAGAATTCCTTTTAAGGCTGACCATGAAATTTCATTTGGGTCGCTCATAGTTTGTTCCATCACTTTCCAGAGAATTATGGTCACTCCATACGTTCACGAAATAAACATTGCCTATTTCTAGTGTCTCCAAATCAGTGAGATCATGGGTAACTTACCGCGCTATTTAAAATAAAGAAGTTTATTTTTCCACGTTATAACATGCTAGATTCCCTTTGAGTTTATCGAAACATAGATTACATTTCAACCAATATGTAATGCTTTACCTCTGTTTGTGTCTTTGAAATACCCTTTCCTGCATGTTTTACCTTAGATTTCAACAGTCGAAATTTTTACATTATAATATGTCTATGTATTCATGAACACCGTTTTCCCGTTTATTACGTAAGCCCAGTATATCAATGTTTTATAGCTTTACTAGTAACGTGATCATTTCTGACTTTTTGTAAAATTTCACGTTTTATCCTCATCACAGTCGTTAATATAGCCGTTAAGTCACAGATGTGGTTTCTTACTTGTCTAAGATTATATGTAGTGTGACATCTATAAGAGATAATCTCAAAAACCTTGTTGATTTTCGCCAGACACACATAAACACCGCTTTAAACAATACTCGAACTTCTGACTAAACAATGTGGTTTTCCTAGATGAAGGCCTGGAGCTTCTCACTCTAATAAATGTGTAGACGAGTAACGATGGCCGCGTCATTGACGTTGAAAAAAAGTGAGAAAGTCAATCAGTCAGTAACAACGTAGAACCTCGTACGTACGTACATCAGTTCGAGTTGCCACACCGTATTAGCACAGAGATGCAGTGGTCGATTCAAATCCCGTAGTGGTAGATGCCGTAAAAGTATAAGCAGTAGTCAGAAAGATTAGGGTTTGAAGACGTTATTTAAACAGAATAATCCAGTGAAATACATTTGGAGAGAGAAAAAAGAGACAAGGAGGATTCAGGGGATTAGAATTTAGGAGAACACAAAGAGTGGATGCACCTACACCATTGCAAACGATTTTGAGCCATGTCATTCAAGGTCTCTAATGATCGATTGCTATCATCTCGTGGTCCCCAACCATGCAGTCTACTCCTTCCAACATGACTCAGACCACTTGTCAGTGACTTCATGGACTTGTGCCATGTTTTGGTCTGGCCGCCCCTAGCTTTCTTCCAACCTATTCCTATACAACAAAACATCGCACGTCGAGGCAGTCGGTGGTTGGGCATACGTAACACGTGTTCCAGCCATCTCAACTGACGAAGTTTCACTACTTCATCAATCGATTTGCCATCCTTACCTAGTACCCGTTTCCTAACAATTGCATTACATACTCGGTGATCCCAGGATAAACGGGGAATGCTTCAGAGACACCTATCATCGAGTACTAGTAACCTACGAATATCCTCTACTCTTACCGGCCATGTTTCACTGCCATAAAGTAGGACGGAACGAACTACTGCGCAGTAAACCCGTCCTTTGGTTGATAGACGGATATCTCGCCTACGCCATAAACGACGCAAGTTGGCAAAAGCTAGTCGGGCCTTCTGTATCCGTGGTGAGATTTCGTCACACACCAGACCACAAGGGCTGATGAGACTTCCAAGATAAGTGAATCGGTCGACACGCTCAACTATTTCACTCCCTATCATTAGTTCAGGTGCCGATGCAACCCGATCCTGAAGCAACATTCTGCATTTCGAGGGTGAAAATCGCATCCAGAACATGCTTGTATTGTTGCTTAAAGTGGTCAGAAGACTCTGCATTTTGTCAGCGTCTTCACCAAATAAAAATATGTCATTGGCATATTCTAAGTCAACAATTGAATCTCCTGGTATAAGTCCAAACCCTAGAAATTTAGATAAGGAAAGTGTTATCTCTAAAAGCACGTCAACGACAAAGTTAAACAAGAATGGAGAGAGTGGACAGCCCTGACGAATACCACTTGAGGTAATCAATCCTGATGACAGTTCACCATATGCTCTCACTCGACCAGTTGTGTTCAAGTAGAGAGCCTTTATAAGGTTAATGTACTTCTTTGGTACTCCTTTCAGAAACAAACATTGATACAGAACCTCACGATCAACAGAGTCGAATGGTGCCTTAAGGTCGAAAAATACTACGATTGTGAGGCGTCTGAATGCGTGTCTATGTTCTAGAACCTGACGTAGTGTAAATATTTGATCTATACAACCACATCCAGGTCGAAAACCAGCCTGGTTTCCTCTATTCTGTTCTTCACGAACTTTGGTTAGGCGTCGAAGTATTATTGAAGCTAACATTTTAGACACTATATTAGCTACGGTTGGGAAGCGAGAAGAAAACCAAAACTGTTATCTGTTGTCCCGCCAGTTTACTTCTTTCTCCTAGTCGAAAGTTTGAAAAACGTATCGTCAACACACTTGAGGAGAAGAGAGTCCTGTCCAGACTATGATTACGCCTTGTCGTAATACGTTTCGCGCTGTTATAACAGGGAAACTACCACCCACCTAAATTGCATTAACTGTAAACACTACTGATGAGATGAATCCAGTCATACGATGATTAAAAGTAAAAAAACCCTTCATGAGACAAGCTGGATTGTATCAATTGACAGATTGGTCCGGATGTCAAAATAAACAGGACGATCAAAGAAAAGGCTTCAGTAGTTAATGGGATGGAAGCGGAGATAAGAATCTCAAGGACCGTGGACAACTTTTCGAAAGAAGCCAAATCCATCCCCAGTTTAATTATCTGGAATATTGAGGAGTTAATCAAGTAAGCTCTCTAGATGAAGGCTTCAACGTGCTACACATCAGTTGGATACAGCAAACAACTTCGGTCACAGTCTTCTACACCAGCCTAAAACCAACAATTATTTATTGAGTACTCGTGCAATCTATCGTAAAATCGGTACGTATTGACTCAGACAAGAACAATCATTTTTGGGTCTTGTCTTTGTGCAACACCGTGATTATGTCACCGAGATTCAGAACCTAGGATGATTAGTGAGCAGTGATTGCAGTGTATTTTATTTCGGACGCATAATGTACTAGACGTATCTGCTCCACCCATTCTAATATCCAGCAGGCTTAGGTTCCGGCAGAGACTGAGCTGTATCAACAAACTGGTCACCCAACGTAGATAGGTTAGTCGAAGACAATCGCAATACGTTCGAAAGCATATTCAAGTCTGTAACGTTACCGCTGGCTTCATGGTCAACACATAAGACGTCACATTGCTGCCTACGGACCGACTGAGCGATCCGAAAGCTGCTGCGACGTTGCAAACTCTTCTGATACTTCTTTTCAATGAACCATGGGTCATTTAGGCGGGAATACTAGAAATGCGTACTATCTGTAAAACTGCTATGGCCAGATTATCTACCACTTACCAGAAGCAGTTGGCACAAGACTATCGTACTTGCTTAAGACTGTTATTTTTGTACATTAAATAAATAACAAGGCAAAGTGATGGAACTTCTTTAACACTGTGGCACGGCAACCCAGACACGCCGGATGCATTAGATACGGCCAGAGCTGAGGCCTCATCATAATATGTCAGAAACCTCTGCTATATGATACGGTTATCAACACTTCCCGTAACTACAGATATAGGACTAGTGCTTGTGACTGAGAAGATTGGTCTTCAATTGATTATCAACCTTAAACCTGGTAAGTCACCGTGCCTTATATGTAGTTGCACGGTTTTGCCATCCTTCGCGGGAGCAATTTCAGGATCACTCATAGTGATTTCAAATATCCCTTCCCCAAATTCAGCCCCTTAGAAATTGGTAAGGCGCTACAACCAGCTGTATATTTGAGTATGAAAAGAGAGATGTCGTGTCTAATTAGGTCTGATCAGAATAGTAGTTAACGTGCTTGTGAGGGTAATTCAAGCAGTTACAAGGTCACGTAGAACGACAAAGTCTTAAGCCGGATGGGTTTTGGAACAGATACTCATGTTTAATAACTTACAACCTGCCACAGAGTACTGAAGCGCAGGTTATATAACTATTTGTCTGTTTATGTGATATTCATAGATTTTGGAGAAGCATTTAAGTATCACACATAAGGCTAGTGTGAAACTTCTCGAGCCTTGAAATAACTGGTGCCAAACAAAAGTGGATCAGAAACACTCTCCTTGTGGCGAGAGACGGATGGTGAGTGTAAATGAGACACTATCTGAATGGAAGCCGATTGAATATCTTATGATTCAAGGAGTCATCTTGAATCGTCTATCATTTCATCAGAACGCTATTAATCTTCTCCTGCTGTAACTGTCGGCACTGTTGTTTGCAGTGAATTTCAAAGTTTAGAAGACTAAGAGCAATGAGGGTGATCAACTTGGTATATAAATTTATTCACATGGATTAGTCAAATGATCTCAAAGTTGAAATTCAGAGGTTGTGCCAATGCGCATCAGTATACCATCAGTGTTCAAGCATTTTCATACGTACAGAAACAAAGTGATTTAGGAGTAACAGAAAGTCATGATATGAAAACTACTGAGCAGTGCAAAGTAGCAGCTGCTAATTTTTTTTAAATGATGTGGTCACTGTAAAATGTGATCGATAAATGAACCCACCAATAATAAAGGGAAACGCCCACCACCACATTAACTCCTTTTGACCTTGTACGACTGTATCTTTTTATTAACCAATCACAGTTTAATGTTCATTGTAAAACAATATTTGCTTGTTGACTCATTCTTCCTATTCTCTGGCTACCGTTCGGTATGTTATTTGTCTCTTTTTTCCTGTATTAATAGACTGTACTGTTCGTTTGCACACTAACGATGTTAATTTATGTTTTAGAAAAAGATAAAGTTTATCAAGCCAAATAGCTTACTTGTTCTGACTTTGGCTAAACCAAGACTCTGTACTCGACGGTCTAGAGATTAGCTTAGAGTTGAATCTGTAGGAAATTGCTTCCTACAAAGTTTCGAACGGTATCTCATCAAAGTTTCGTACATTGGGTACCTTTAGATGTCTATGGAGAGTCGTAAAACTGATCATATTCCTGAATTGTCTCCTCATTATTCAGAAACCCATAGTGATGACCAGCTCGGAGGAAATACCTACCGAATGGATCCCTTGTTAGAGTTAGAATTAGCTAAAGTACGTTTAGCTCAGACAGAAAAAGAAATCGAGCTAGAACGGTTACGCCAAAAAGGAAAAGAACATTATGATCAAGTTATGGTTGACAAGGCGATGACGTATGAGTCTACATCTGTCGTTGATGTTCCTCATAGAAAAGACTGGGTAACAATGATGTCTAGAGCTTTAGACCTACCAAAGAAAGAGATTATAAGGTTTGATGGTAACCCTATGAACTATTGGAGCTTCATACGGAATTTTGAGGACTGTTTTGACGAGAGCATTGGGTTCCGATCTAGGTTAAACTATTTGATCCAGTACTGTGATGGTGAAGCTAAAAACACTATTGTTCATTGCGCATTGCTTGAACCAGAAGAAGGCTATCGTAAAGCACTAGAACTTCTCGAGGAAGCATTTGGTCAGAAGCATATAGTAGCCCATGCATTTATTGATAAGATGCTGAACATCCCTGCCATTAAAGGGACCGATCCATATAATTTAAGAAGGTTGTCTCGTGAGATGCATATTTGTGAGCTAACACTCACGCAGATGAACTATGTATCTGATCTTAATTCTACAAAGACTATCGAATGCATGTTTTTAAAACTCCCGTTACACCTGCAAAGAGAATGGGTTAAAGTTGCGTGTAGAATTCTTAAGACAGGTAGAGAACCTTCATTCAAGGACCTTTGTGAATTTGTGAAAGAGCAGTCAGACATTGCTAATACTAGGTACGGCTTACTTGTCAACCGCGGTAGTAATAGTGGCAATAAAGATGTTGGTGTTTTAAAAAGGAAAATTAGTACAGATTACAATGCAGCAAGAATATCTTATGCGAGTGCTAGTGATGATAACGCTCTCTTACGCAGTTCATCTTGTTTGGAGTGCTCCAGTAATCATTCTTTAGATCAATGTCAGAAATTTAAAGACAAGAATGTTAGAGAAAGGAAGGAATTCGTTCTTAGACACAAGTTGTGTAATGTATGCCTGAAGGCAAACCACGTAGCAAAAAACTGTCGATCGCCGAGATCGTGTGCTGTCGAAGGGTGTGGCTGGAGACACCATACCTTGTTACACGAGTTGCGGGAAGAACCAAGGAATACTAATATTGATGCACACATTAACACCCAGCTATGTACGGAGAAAAGTGTTGAGCGTGTACAGAAACAAGCAGCATTCGCAATAGTGCCTGTACTGGTAAGAAATGGAGAAAGGGTAGCACAGACTTGCGCCTTCTTAGATAGTGGGTCGGATGCCTCGCTTATTACAGAAGATCTAGCTAAAAGGTTGAATTTAGAAGGAGAGCCTAAGACGATTTCGTTGAAAACGTTGGATAACCATTCCACAATTCAGTGTAAAGAGGTTCAACTAGAGGTTTCCTCCTTAGACTCGTCTTCGTCATTTAGAATCCCAAACGTATGGACAGTCGAGAGATTACCTATGTTGCGCAGGACGGTACCAACGACGTCTCAAATGAAATCCTGGACGCATTTAAAAGACATAAGTTTTCCTAGAGTAGAGGATGAGAATGTCAAACTGTTGATCGGGTGCAACGCACCGAGTGTACACGAAATGAAAGAGATAAGAACTGGAAAGCCGAATGAACCATTCGCCGTGAAGACTCCGTTAGGTTGGACGCTGTTCGGTTCCTATAGGAAACCTTGTGAAAGCAATTGTGCACTCAACCACCTCTCAGCTAAAGAGGAATTAGAGGATAAGTTCGAACAGTTGTACTCAACTGAATTCAAAGATCCATTTAGTCGTACTATATCGATGTCTGTAGAAGATCGTATAGCACTCAGTGCTATATCAAATTCAGTACAAAGGTTAAACGGGCACTATCAAATAGCTCTACCTTGGAGGCACAACCACGAGTTACCTAATAACAGAGAATTAGCAGAACGTAGACTTAGCTGTTTGAAAGGTAGACTTATTCGGGATAAGAAGTTGTTCCAAGACTATGTAGACTCCATGACTCGGTATGTAGAACGAGATTACGCTGAAAAGGTAAACGATAACCACTCTGATGGGCGAATTTGGTATCTTCCTCACCATCCAGTCTTCCACCCCAAGAAACCTAACAAGCTAAGAATAGTGTTCGATTGTGCAGCTCAGTATGCTGGAACGTCTTTAAATAAGAGCCTTTATTCTGGGCCTGATTTAGTCAATAACCTAGTAGACGTTTTCACCAGGTTCCGGCAACGACCAGTAGGTCTTACGGCGGACATTGAAGCCATGTTCCATCAAGTAATAGTTCCGCCGCATGATCGAGATGTTCTTAGATATTTGTGGTGGCCAGGTGGAGACTTAGAAAAGGAACCCGGGATCTATAGAATGAAAGTTCATCTGTTCGGGGCAACTTCATCGCCATGTTGCGCCACCTTTGCTTTACAGAAAACGATTTCTGATAATCAAGATAAATTTCCCAGGGCTGTTACGCAAGCAGCTAAAGAACAGTTTTATGTGGATGATTTATTGATAAGTGTGGATACCATAGAAGAAGCCAAACGGACATATTCGCACTTTAAAAGACTCCTAAGTTTGGGAGGATTTAACTTTTATAAATGGACTAGTAATAGCGTTGAAGTGCTGGAGTTCATTCCAGAAGGAGACCGTGCTGAAGGAAGCATTACTGTCTGTGAGTCCAGTGAGACAAGTAAACGAACTCTTGGAATAGAGTGGAACGTCCGAACAGACGAGTTATGTTTCAAAGTTCACGAATTTCACGGAAACCCACCAGAAGGAATGTTTTATCGTATGTAGCATCTATCTTTGATCCAATTGGGTTTGTAGCCCCAATAATATTACCGGCTAAAGTGATCTTACAAGATACTTGTCGTCAGAAACTAGACTGGGATGCCGAGTTACCCATAGATTGTCAAAAAAGTGGAATAATTGGTGTAGACATATAAAAGGGTTAGACCACTTAAGGATACCAAGGTGTTTGAAACCAGGGTTTGAACCATCATCTGCGCAAATTCATTGTTTTGCCGACGCCTCCGAGCTTGCGTATGGTGTTGTTGCGTATATTCGTTACGAAAGTGTTTCTGGTCAGATTCATTGTTCATTCCTGCTAGCTAAGTCTAGGGTTGCTCCTCTAAAGCTTGTTACTATACCCAGAATGGAATTAACGGCCTGTGTTCTGTGTGCTAAGATTGGAAGGCACGTAAGGGAACAGTTAAGTATCCCCATTTCGTCAGTCATTTATTGGACCGATTCGACAGTTGTGCTTCATTGCATAAAAAATACGACTAAAAGGTTTGAAAGGTTTGTGAGTAACAGGTTAGAAACTATACACGAGTTGTCTACGCCGAGCCAATGGAGATATGTGAAAGGTAAATTGAATCCTGCAGATCACGCGTCTCGTGGATTATCACTAAATGATAAGGCTAAGGTAAGAGAGTGGTTACAAGGGCCGAGATTCTTGTGGGAGGAAGAAAATAAGTGGCCTAACCTAGAAAAGATTGAGAACACTATAGCCCATGTATTGACAGAGGATTTCGAACTCCAAGACACGATGATGAGTTCCTAGATCGATTTCGTACGTGCAAGTCGTGGTCCAGACTTCTAAGGGTATTTTCATACTGCAGACGGCTTATCAATAATATGTTAAACAAGAGGAACGGAAATCGTCTAACCTTAGGTGAGCTAAGTGCTGAGGATATCGAAAATTCGAAGAGTGACATAATTAAACTAGTCCAAAGTATCGCGTACCCGGCCGAAAAAAGAATTCTAAACAGCGCACCGTTGACGCTCGGAGAAAACGCTTTTAGACAGCAAAAAGGTCAAGAAGCAATGGACGAGGTGAACAGGAGAAAAAAATTAATTCGTCAAAGTTCTATAAGAAATCTCAACCCCTTTATGTTTGAAGGCAAAATCCACGTGGGAGGACGTTTGCAGTTATCATGTTTACCCTTTGAAACCAAATATCCGATTATTCTTCCTAATAATCATTTTGTTACAGATATGATTATAATGCGTTATCATGTGATTAACGCACATGTTGGAGTTACTCAAACTCTGAGTAGTATTCGTGAGGAGTATTGGATTGTTAGAGGATATTCTACTGTTCGGAAGGTTCTAAAACGATGCTATTTATGTAGAAGACTTTATCCTAAACCATGTTCCCAACTAATGGCACCGTTGCCGGAATACCGAGTAGAGACTCATTCGCCACCCTTTAGTCAAGTAGGTGTGGATTATTTCGGACCGTTCTATGCCAAGCGTGGTAGAGTTGTCGAGAAACGTTATGGCTGTTTATTCACCTGCTTATCTATTAGAGCCGTTCACATCGAAATGGCCTATTCTTTAGATACGGATTCATTTCTATGCGCATTAACGAGATTTATTGCCAGAAGAGGATGTCCAAAGCGTATTTTTAGTGATAACGGCACAAACTTCCGAGGTGCAGATGCCAGTTTGAGACAGATTATACGTTCCTGGAATACTAACAAAATAGAAAACCACCTTAAAGAACGAGAATGTGAGTGGCGTTTTAACCCACCTAGAGCAAGTCATCGAGGTGGTGTGTGGGAACGCATTATAAGATCAATTAGAAGAATCTTAAGAGTGCTTTTATTCCAAAACGTGTTGACCGATGAAACTCTGCAAACCTTCTTAACTGAGGCGGAACGGATACTGAATGACAGACCTCTGGTTAAGATGACAGATGACCCTGGTACCCTAGAAGCTCTTACTCCGAACAAGTTGTTGTTGATTCATAAAAAATTATCATTCGACGATGCTTCGGTGGATAAGACGTTATTATACAACAAAAGATGGAAAGAAGCTCAAAGACTAACCGCCGCATTCTGGAATAGATGGATAAAAGAATATTTACCGACTCTTCAAGCAAGAGACAAATGGTTGGACGTACACAAGAACTTACAACCGGGTGACTTAGTCCTCGTTAGTAACGTCGAAATGAATAGAGGTCTATGGCCTAAGGCTATAGTCGAGCAAGTAAGCTATGGCCCGGACGGACGAGTCCGCACGGCAAAGTTGAGAACTTCAAACGAAGAAATCGTCAGAGATGTGCGAAGCCTATGCTTGCTGGAAGAAGCCGGTTGTCTGAAAGCGACGACGGCCCTGGACAATGGACGTGGTGCGCGTTTCGGGGGGAGTGTAAAATGTGATCGATAAACGAACCCACCAATAATAAAGGGAAACGCCCACCACCACATTAACTCCTTTTGACCTTGTACGACTGTATCTTTTTATTAGCCAATCACAGTTTAATGTTCATTGTAAAACAATATTTGCTTGTTGACTCATTCTTCCTATTCTCTGGCTACCGTTCGGTATGTTATTTGTCTCTTTTTTCCTGTATCAATAGACTGTACTGGTCGTTTGCACACTAACGATGTTAATTTATGTTTTAGAGAAAGATAAAGTTTATCAAGCCAAATAGCTTACTTGTTCTGACTTTGGCTAAACCAAGACTCTGTACTCGACGGTCTAGAGATTAGCTTAGAGTTGAATCTGTAGGAAATTGCTTCCTACAGTCACTTTGCTGATCATTCAAATGCCTTAACTAACATATGTTGCAGATTTTATACCCCACCTTTGTCAGATCAAACCTGCAATATTCCGTCCAAACAGATGGTCCTTATCTTGCCAGGCATGCTATCACACTTGGGCATTCTAAACGTGTGACAAAGAAGATAGTGACAGATCTCTCTAAATTCTCCTACGATGATCTCTTGAAACGTCCAAACCATTCCCCGTATCGTAGAAAGCAAGGTGGAATCCCGCATCTTAATTATTTGAATTTTAACATAATCCATCTTCTTGCTTCCCCCAGAACTAATCATTTTCGAGGCTTCAGCAAGAACGTTCAAGAATCACGATCTAACAGACTCAGAACGGAATTTGTAGTGACGGTTAGATATCACTGAATTATCTCTAAAAATCCTCATGGGAACTCAACACACCGATTGTTGATCACTCGATGGAAAATAATGAATGTGAATAATTGTCCAGAAAGGAAAAGGTCGGGGCTGTATGCCTCGTTCACTCTGTAAATCTCTAACTTCTTTTTGAGTGTACACTTCGAAAGTCTTTTCAGATGGATCGCTGACTATCACCACAAGGCGAGTCAGCATAGAAGTTGGTGTGTCTTCAGATTAAGGTCATATAGATAAGGCTGCCAAATCACTCCAATGTCACATTGTTAGATTATGATTATTATTCTAGAAACATGGATAAGTGTACTTACACCAATTTTAGGCCTGAATCCTCTAAATCTGACTCGAATCATTGAATGAACGTGAAAGTTTATTTGGTTTGCTAGTTTCTATAGATATTGCTCAGTCAAGATTAAGCTAATTTTCATCTGAATAATGGATAGCAAGTTGGAAACCTTCAAACACACACCGATTTTAATTCTTAAAGGCCAAGGTGTTTAACGAGAAGATATTAGCGGAGTTGCATAAAGTTATCATACATATTTTTAAAAATGATCTCAAAGCAGAAGGAATCAGATATACTTTAAATAAAGAAAACAACCCATATTGTCATCTGAGAAGAACTAAAATAATCCAGCTAAGAAATTTTCCTTTCCGATAATACCAAGTGTCCAAGATATACAATAGCATTAATAGTTGATATACAGTTACAATAATCTATTGAAAGGAGGACAATTACACCCTATCGTTTTTTAAGGAATATTGGGTAATAATCCGTAACTGAAGAGAGATAACGAGATGAAGTTAAATGTGTAAAAGATAAATGTCTACTTGACAAGTATGGGATGAGTGAAGAATAAGTTAAAAACGTAAAGCTGATAATAAAAAAGAATTAAAATTGAGAAGGTTAAGAACATTAGAGGTAAATCTGTCATAGTATGATAGGAGTATTTAAATTATAATATGAACTAAGAATCTCAGAAATAACGAAATTGGATCAAGAAGTACTCGATAAGCACAGACGAATGTACTGTATTTGGAATTCGAAATCAAGCATTCAACAAGTACAAAGGAATCATTAGTTCATTCAAACACCACACGTAGGTTAGATATTTCCTCGTCTATTGTGTCTTCTGAGTCTATTCGTCCGACCTTTTCTGCTAAACATTGAATCAAGTTTCTCTTGCAGTTTAACGGAACTGGACTTTGAAAATTCGTATATTGTCCATTCTAAGTTGGTTTACGATTTTAAGATCTTTGTAATGTACCATCTGGTGTTCAATTTCATGAGACATAGAAAAGCTGAAATTCGATTCTGATTCAAAAATCGGTGTTTATTTTGACTTAATATTGAATATAAACCATTTTGCCTACCTAGGAGTTGTGCGTATTGACATGTGTCGAGAGAGTTAGAACATACTTATTTGGTAATTAGATTGATACTATTTGTATTTCTTTGATTTGATGATTCTGGTTAACTGATTGCCTCCAGCTAGAGATGTGTCCAGCGTAACTAATAATGTCAACCTCAACGTAGGAGACTCAAAAGCCCATTTTATTTTAAGATTTATGTTCCGCCACAGCTTTCTTCATATATAGCGAGGAATGGAGGGCCCTATGATATGACTAACTAAAGTTTCAGGTCTAGTGAATTCACGATTTGTAAACATTCTTCAAACTGTTCTCTTCGTCCATTCAAAGGCATCTGGCAATCTGAAGAGTTTTGGAGTGCATTATAAAAACGTAGAAAAGCAAAAAATTTCATTCTTTGATTTCGTCCTTACTTTCCTCAGCTTTTCTGGTCGTCTTGAAAAATAAGAGGAACTAATCAATCAAGCGTCAAGCTAAGATACTAATTTTAGATAAATTCATTTTTCTTAAAGTATCAAAAGAGAGCTAATACTTATTGAGATTTATTATTTTCAATTTGATAAGTTTCATCTAAATGAATAACGTATACAAAAACAACAATTTTCAAGCGAATAATCGTGTTCAATAACTTTATCAATAGGGTCTATAGTTATAAGTCTATAACTATTGTAATACACTTGCCAAAAATAAGACATCCATAAATTAATTAGACAATTATGACGTATTTAAACAATAACTAATGCAAATATTTACTATTTTAACAAATCTCGTTGTTTAATTAGGTTACGTAGTTCTTATTTCGCCCAATCTAATACGATAATTATAACTGGTGAGTCTAATGATGAAATTATTGGAAATAAACGTTCACTTTATTATTTTTTATACTTGGATAGTTTACGAGAACTTTTTAAATTTCTAACATCATTTATAAAGAAAGTAAAAATCAGGTATGATGGATAGTAGTATAAATATGCATCCATATAGATCACATCATATTATTAAATAAAACGAATAATTCAATTGGGCGTCTATTTTATAGAAGTAAAATGAAAAACAAAAAACTGCCTATTTTATTAAGATCAATTTCTTTAGACTAGATGTGCAATCTTTTTAGAATAAAATAAAACAAAACAAGGAACATTTCAAGCCTTAGAAGGCAGTAACAAAGAAAAAAAAGAGAACAAATTCAAGAAGTGATAGCAATACAAGATATGGAAAATAATAAGAAGGATAAAATAAAAGAAGAAACTGTTAAACAATATTGTTTTTCTCTTCATTTTAATTACTTATTGACAAAAGATCTAACTCAAATATGGCAAAATCAATTTCATATCCATTCAAATAATGATAATGATAATCATCATAGTAACAATAAATGCTGTATCCATTTAGATTTCAATTAAATAAATAAATAAATAAAATATTTGGTTTTCACAGTTGTGCTAATCAATATGGTTAAAAGAAAAAAGAAAAGAATTTTTAAGACAAATTTAGTAATAAATAAATCAATAAATAAGGGAATAAATATGCATATTTTGTTTGCAATGAATAAAATCAAACAATGCACATATATATTTACTGATAAATAAAAGTGTTGCAAAGATGAAAAAGAACAAACAGACAAGGAAACAAAATCTGTAATAACAGATCGATAGGAATGTGAAACGTGTTTTCTAGATTCTTCTTTTAATATCAGTAATTGTGTTGATAATAATAGTTAAAATTTCTTTCATAGAAATTTCAATTTTAAACAAACTGGCATTATGATGTTTGATTATCCAGGTATATATGTCGACTACTTTCCAGTGATTTACTAGTCAATATAAGTAACTTTTGATATTGTTATGGTTAGTAGGAAATTAGTTTTAGTTTGTTTATGCTACTTTTAATACCCTTGATGATATGGATTAACATTTTGTTCTTTTGTTGTTCCACTTAAAGTTTCACCATAACCGTAACCTTGGGAATTTACTAGTGGGTCATTTACAGTGGATTGATTATAACCCGATGTATATCTTGAACTTGAAGTATAGAATTGATTACTATCAGTTGATGAATTCCTTTGGTTACTTACTCTTCGAAAAGACAGATTATTATCTTTTCTTTCAGTTGGATCTGCATAGCCATATTCTCCGTGCATCATCTCTGCTGGTAAATCGGTTGGTGGTTGCCAATTACATTGAGCTTCTTCAGGTGCATCTGCCCAAGGTTGTTTTTCTCCAGATGCAAAGATAGCATAAAATGTAACACCAACAAAGTGAACCAAACTAGCTATCAAAAAAACTATTGGCCATCCTTCCTTATTCTAATGAAAAAAAAACCAACATATTGTTCAAAGGTCAATTATGCTATTCGTATTTAAATAGGTTTTAAGGGCATTAGTAAATCAAGTTGATAATTATTGATTGAACGGGTTTAAGCACTTAACCAAACAACTTATTTGCAATTCATGCTTAGCTTTCAATAGGTCTTATAATATGATAGTTGCTTTTTTCAAAATGTTCTACTGGATTAAAACTGCTCTAACACTTAAGTTTTGACCATATTTTCTAACTTTAAGTAAGTACTGAAAGTAAAGCTATATCATTTTAATATTTTCCTAAGACTGATTTTAAGCATTGTATTTAAGAAATTTTAAACTAAAACATTTTCTGTGTTACCTAATCGTTTAGGAAATTATTACAAGACAATAAATACACAGCAAGTCTTTAGCCGTATTAACCATAGGAAGAATCAGTTTTGTTTTAATGGCTTACATTTTTCCCTTGTTGATATTCAAGACCATATTCTTTCATTCTCCGAAAACATATCAGACATTGGTATACATAAGACAAACATAAGGATTCACTCAGAAAGCACATTTTCAAACAGAAAACAAATGCAGTCCTGAGTATCCCTAACATGAAAACTAAAACCGCTGCAAACAACTTTATCAGCGTTAATTATTGGCTATCTAAAATTAGTAGTTTGGTGTATAAGGCGTCAGTACTTGAAGTAGTCAGTTCTAAGTTTCAGTTTCAGTAGGAATGTTCATTCATCAAGTTCCAAATAGAACAAAAGTCGCATCCTAAACATCAATGCTAAACGTAATACAAGAATAAACCAATAAAATATTATCTTAACGTATACTCAAGTGTTCATTTATATGATTTTGAAATGAACGATAGTGGACTGTTAGTATGAAGTGAGAGATTTATTTTTACAGACTTAGTAAATCAGTACCTCACTATTTGCAATGTGGTATTTACCAAATAACTTATTCGGCCTAACCAATATATTCAGTTCACATAACTGTATCAATATCATTCATTTCCTAAACAAAAACTCCACTTTCTGTAAACTAATCAAGTAAACTAAAAATAATAAGAAGTGACTCAATATTACCGAACAACTTTTCGGTAAGCTTCAGAGAAATTCAATGCAGTGCTTACTTGATTTTTGGTAAGTAATTCTGTTGTAATTGGACAAATCATGCCAGATATTGTTCCAACACCATTAGATAAACCCATCAATATACTGGCATAACGTGGTGCAATATCCAAATGGTTAACATTATAACCTAAAAATGTAAAAATATGTCAGATATTTAAAGAAGATAAAATAACGGAAGTTTAACCATAAAAACACCTTGATAATTGATGTATTGTTAATGAAATAGAACTAAGTCCATTCCGTGAGTTAACTTACCAAAAGATATTCAGTTTTTTCATACTAGATAAGAAATACACTTACAACGCGTAGAATGATAGTATACACGAAAATCGGAAGGAGTGCGCTATATAATTGAAAAGAATTTGATGGGGGAACAAATAACAACAATGAAATTATTTTGGAAGTTACATCGAATGTCAGCTATCTATCGTTTGTTCAATATTTACGAGGTAAATAATAGCTTACTGATACTGTATTCCAACGTGAAATCGTTTCAAGACATCAATTCCCTAAAAAGTTTGTGTTTGTAAAACCAACAAACTAATTAAACTTTGGTTAACAGTCAAAAGATTTGTGATAACAAAATGTCATTTTGATATCTTCACTGATTTGCAGATTGATTATATTTTAACAGACAACATTGGTTACTCACAAGTAGTAAAATTATGTACAATGAAAACTAAGTAACTGTGATATGAAATTGTGTAAATAGTTTTCATTGTCTTGAAGTCTGTAATCTATATATTGTATGGTATTCAAACATAGATTTGTATTACATACCAATTTTGCTACTTATGAATTACATAGAATAGGTTCAGTTAGTAGAACTAGGCCTGAAGAACGGGAAACATTTATGTGAATGAATTAGATTTATTACTATTTTCTATGAACATGAATTGGTTAGAAAAGTTTTTCTTGTTTTAAAAATGGTCGTACACAACTCTCTCAGAATTAAATTGTTCGATTCTGGCTCTGAAACGAATATAACGTGTTGGATATTTGTTGAAAGTCAGTTAGTGTGTACTGAATTGAATTGTCAGTCGATGATTTATCGTTTGTTCAAGTTCATTGGAAAACTGATATTTATGTCAGCGGTCTAAAATGCAATATCTTACTCTCATAATCAATATGCTGATGCTTTTAATTACAGGAAAAGTTTAGTGTATTTTAATGTGTTTTATTTAATACTACATGTTTTATTACAACAGTAAATTGTTGGCTTATTCTGCATTTTTATTGCAAAGATTTAAAATGATATTATCAGAAATCGTTAGATGAGTGTTTAACTAATTTTATTTATAATTACAGAGGCTTTTAGATAATCCTATTCTTACAACCTGCTAACATCTCATATACTTGTAATAAAGTACTATACCCCATTTATATTTCACTGTACTTGAATAAATAATAATGTGTTTGCCAAATACTTTATCAGAGAACAGATAAGCAATCAAGATACTAACAGTAGTATTGTCTCAAGTTGAGTTTTGAAGTAACTAGCTTTGTGAGTTGTAAGAATTTCACAAATTTCGAGGAGAAACTTATTAGGTTAACAGGGTGAGACTATATTTTATGGACGACCATTGAGCAACGCTAATATGACCTTGAAAATGTCCATCAACTTACAAGGGTTAAATGATGGTTATAAATTAGTGTGAAGGACTAGGATTAAGATTTACAGTTGAAAGAACCAATATCAGCTATAATGACGAATTGGTATTTAACCAAATGAGTCTATGAATCTTGTACCATAATATAAGACCTGCTATCTTAAATCTGATTGGTTCGTCCATAAATTATAGTCTCACCGACTTTCCATTATTATATAGATTAACCCAGAAAGCTCATTTTCGTACTGTTAAAATATGTAATATGATTATGGTTTCTAAAACACGATTACTCTCCTGTAATATGTGACAATAAAATTAACACCACTGAGAAAATTATTTTGAAGTTGGATTCCATGTACAATAAATAAAACAAACGGAATCAGGCAAAAGTATGTACAATGCAGCACTTTTTTTCCTCATATAGTCTACGGTGTATTTGCTTACTGACAATCATCACTTTACTTTTCTATATACATATTCTTAAAATTGAATTTTTATACATTTATGATTATGATTTAAGTTAAGTTTCATACGTTTATTTCCATATATGAAATATTAGTCAATAATAACTAATCTACATTCAATGAATTCATGATCTTAACTATTAAAAATTACTATAATATCCATAATACCCCATTCTCTAGTAGAATTTATTATGATAATGTAAATCTATTTTAAAGGGTTCATTTTCATAAATGAAGTTTTTCATCAATGAATAAAAATGAATCATTCAAACAAATTATTCATCAACACTAGTTTTGTTTACATTAAAGAAAGTCAAATGAAGAGTTTAATTCTAAACTCTTATCATAAAAAAAACTCAGCATGAATTTGATGATCGTTTTACCATTATTTCTATTGTGAATTTTGAAGCAGTGACAAGACTTATGATAGAAAAACAAAAGTAGTAGATTTATCTCAATAATGTAAAAGGGTTAGTCTTAAGTACGCATTCTGAACTGAATAATAATGATAATGGTATTAGTAATAATAATGATAAGACTAATGTATTGAATGAGTATTCAAAATCATACAAATAAAATACCGTATCAAACTAGTTTTATTGGTTGAACACTAGATCAGGGACTTCAAAGCAATAGACAGTATTGAACATATGAAGACTAAATAGATGACATTTAAAAAGTCTGATGAACATATTGATGTTGAACCAGTTCGTTAAAATCTCATAGTTTTTATTTTCTAGTTTTATTTCTTAGTATAAACACTTTTCATAGTCATCAGCGAGTGTCTAATCTCGCTAATCTTATGATTACTCATTATAGTGTAAATATGTATTCTGTTATCGGAAGGGGTTTTGTGGAGATTTTTATAAATTTCAATAGTTTCAATAGCTGAGATCATGAGCCAATTGAAGCTTCCAGGTTTTCCATGGTGGTCTAGCTTCGATTGACTCATGATTTCAACTATTAAAATTACTAAAATCTCCACAAAATCCCTTCAGACAATAGTCATCTGCTCACTAGTGACTGACATCAAGAAGCATTTCCTGGAGTTCTAGTGAGAAGCCGTGACCAGTGGAGTTCAACCAGGTCTGTTGTGAGATAGTAACTCACTGAAGACAATGGTGTACGGTGGCGCAACTTCGTGGATTGGTTAAAGTTAGACATTAACACCGTTGGATGCCGGCTAGCTCAGTGGTCTAATGGTTAATCAATCGCGCGCGAGACCAATAGATCCTGGGTTTGAATCTCACAGGGGGCAGGATCGTGCATGTGCACTGCTGAGGAGTCCCATACTAGGATTATATTCCAAATTAGATGATATTACATATTCGTCGATGAACAGTTAAAACGGTTATCTTATATCTCTAACTATTGATCTTGATTCATCTTGTTTGTAAATATTTATTCAAAACCTAAATATCTAGCGCTGTTTATCTCCCTTTAATTTCTGATATAGCATGTTCTTACAGTTCTTGATTACCTTAGATATCTACATTTCACTTAAGTTATTAACCATTGCTTTAATACCTTTCATTTAAAGTCGTACATTAGGAGTAAAAGTTAGTTAAGGACAGTAAATGACATCATTTGGTAACTTAAATATATTTCTTTGAAAATTTGTTTATTTACATCACAAGCTGGCGGCTATCAGGAATAAGTAGCTAAGTGGATAACGTAATAGTGTTTGAAGCGGACGGTACTGGGTTCAACTTCCGGAATGAGCATCAAATCTTGGATGTAGGTACATCCAACTGACGAGTTTCAAGTAGGATTAAACGCGCGTCCTGGATTCTGCTGTTAGCCACCATCTATTTCTGCTTATAATTCACATCACTGCTTAATCTACTATGACCTACTAACATAAATACTACTCAAATTTCCAGCTTGTTCTACTTTACTTGATGTCACATCACCAAACATACACAAAATGTTCTTAATTTTCTTTTTGTCATTAAAATTATTATTGATAGGATATTTATTATAACAATATAATGAATAATTAGTTTAAATCATCAATTAAAAAGAGATGTGAAACGACAAGAACAGAAAAAGTAAACCAAATCAGTCACTACCATTATGAGAAATGTGGAAAATAGGTAACATTAATTCGATTTATTTGACATAATTTCTAAATAGGTTTTCTTATTATCTTTTATTATTATTGTTATTATTATTAATGTAATTATTCGATCACTGTCTTTGTGTTTTTATTTCATTATTATTTCTAATAACCTAATAAGTTTATGGAGAAAAAAATTGCAAATAATTCCAAAGTTGAAATGATGTATTGTTTGTTTGAATCCTTTTAGCTGATGAGTCCTAAACAGAACGAAACACGAGTCCTAGATTTCATTGCTGACAAGTTCAATAGTTTCTTGTTTAATATTTTGTTTATTAAAGAATTAACTTAATTTTGATTTATCTCTCTTTTTTTGAAAAATTAGAATAAGATTGGTTTACATTTCACACTAGTCAGTGAATAAAATATCGACCAATAATAATTGCGTTGGTAATTGAAACAAAAATGAGAAAGATCTAGTAAGATCTAACATGTAATCATCGAACTGGGATCAGATACTTTTACATTATCAATTTTATGTTTGTTTTATTTAAAATATCAGTAGATAGGGGTTGCTATAGGTTACTGTAATTATATTTACCAATCGCATAAGTATTACAGCTTGTGCCTCAAATTTAATACTATCTATTCTTTTTCACATAGAAAATGCTGCTTTCGGATGATTATAGATAGTTGACAGAAAATATCAAAGATCAAAATACAATGCATACAATTGTGAGTTAGATTAATGCCTTCACTGAAGCCTGATCAATAGTACCTGTTTATTTTTAAGGACAAGACAAACATGATATTGATCACAACTAAATGATTAATCAATATAATTGTGCTAACTGTTATTAATTTTGTTATAGACTAAAGGTCACAATTCCATGGTATTCAATGATTGGAATACCCTGGTTTCTTTTTTCTAAACCTTAATTTCATTTACATTTTACATTTTTAAATTAATAACATGTATCGTATTAATATTATGTTACTAATTTTGTAAAACATTAAGCAATTATTTTAACCACACTCAATAAATAAACATTTCAAGTATGTTTCTGAGTATTTCGATGTTTACAATATGACACATTCAGTCTGTACAGGAACGAGCATTTCAAACTTATTAGCCACATTGCTATTATATATACAAATGAAGATTGAAATCATGTTAACTTGAAAAAAGGTAGGTAATATAGAATGAGAGATTCATTTTAAAACGCAAATAGTTATTGAATGATGAAATAAAAGAAGTTATCATGGTTATTAGGAAAAAGAGTTAAGGTTTAAATACTAATTATTGTTAGATAAATTAATATCACACTTTAGAAAAGAACACAATTACCTGATATTGCAAATCCACTAAATCCAACAGCTAAAACAAGACATACTAAAGCTGATGTAATTGTTTTTGAATAACCAACACCAATTAAAAAGATTGCTTCTGTTCCGAAACCTATTGAGAAAATGTAAGATAATATTATTTTATTCATTTAATAAGAGTAGTGAGACATTTGGATTGAATTGTCTATAGTCACCTAAGTAAATGTTTCCCTAAATTATTATTTTTTTCCATTGTAAGGATATCATCATGACGAAAGGTATTCTGATGAGTAAAAACGATGAATCACTACCTCAATGAACAATGTTTGGCGAGACCATAATTTATGGACGAACCAATCACGTATAAAATAACAGGTTTCGAATTTTGGCGCGAAATTCACTCATCCGTTTAGATAAATAGAGTTTTGGTAATATACTTAAAGTCAGTTCGTGATGCAAATTATAAATGTAATTCCTAACCTTATTCATCAACTATAAGTCACAATTATAAATCCTCATACTGGTTTATAATCCTCATTTGGTCCTGATTTTTAGGTGAACACTCCTAAGGTCAGTCTAGCATTGCTCAAAGGTCGTCCGTAAATTATAGTTTCAGTGAGATACTTTCAGCTATTTTTTTGATCAACTAATTATCTTTATTTTTACATAGCATGATCTGTTGTAATTTATTCAGCCTGTCAACCGACAGAAATCTAACTTTTATTCCCTTAAAATTATTTCTGAAGTGGGTCGAATTTACATCCAGCTGACGAGTTTCATTCAAGACAAAATTTTAAAATCGTTTTTATTTTGAATCACTCATTTAAAGTAATACTTACACTACACTACTAAAATAATAATAATAAAATGAGTTGATTCTACAATGTGAATGTAATTAATAGTTGATTTGTATACATGAATATAATCTGTTATCAAACAAAATGAACCTGAGCGTTCTATTAAAAATATAAATGAATTGATTTTCCGTGCTTTATTTATGAGTGAATTTTTCGTATAACAGAATCACAAAAGAATTTCCAATAATATATAGGGTGATCAAATACCTACAGTATACCTATCAAATATTTACCCTGAGATACGACGCTTCAATCTTTGAAATAACTAAGTTTTTGTTAAGTTTTTATCTTATTCTTCCAATATTTACTAAACGTTTCTAGTTGGATCTGTTTATTAAATTCTCATGAACCAACATATCAAAAAACAGAAATGTCTACCTAGCTCTATTAAGCACCGGTTATTGGACATATAATCATGAGGTGAATGAACTAAACAAATACAAAACCACTGAAGAACAAAAATGTGGTGTCATATTAAGATTTGAGGATTTATGGAAATTAGAAGGCTAAAACCTGACTTCTGTTTTCATCAAAGGAACCTGCAGCTAACGTCCAACTGTCTTCATGATAGAAATTATGTGTGATTAACCCTTTTTTTCGTTCTTAACTTAAATACAACTGCAGGTCAGAAAGCTAAATTCTATCTGTTTTCTGTATCTTCATGTATTCTTAATCAACTTTTAGCATATTACATAATCAAGATTTAAAGAAAGTTGAAAAGTTACCTAAAATTTAATGAAAAAGGTAAGTGATCTTTCAGTTAACTTCTTTTGTTTACTAATTAATAAAATATTTTGTCGCTGACTAATAAAGTCATTAGAAGTAGCCGTATAAATTACTCTTGTCTATACTAGAAATGTTAAGTCTACTATTATGTTTATTAACCGGTATTAAAATAATGGCTTGATGTACCATGAATAGGGGGAACATTGGAACACAGCTCTGTTGTCTCTGGATAGATTATGAAATTTATAATTTAGGAATATTCAAAGCTTGTATAAAGAAGTCGTTATAACTGACTTTCTTGCTATAGTGAAGATCTATAGTAACTGATATGGAAATATATCTCCTTGATATGAATCCAGCTTAGATAAAATTCTTGCACGGGTTTCCATTAACGGTAGCCTCTATTTTCACATTATAACCTCGCTAATCTCATTTAGTAATTGGTTTTCAGAGATTTAAGATAGTACTTCAAATAATGAATTCTGTTATAAAATCATGTTTATAATCCAACAAAATGTTTTTCTTTTAGGAGAATTTGATTTTGTAAATTACTTTTTAAACAACATTAAAATCTTGAAAAAATCAGTACTAGAATGTACTCGTCAGTTTGGGATGTTTTTGATAGATGTGTTATTGTTCAAAAAATCTACACTGTTTTTATTTCTTTTTTTAAAATTCCTGTTCTATTTTCAAATTTTCCGAATCATCACTCTAATGATTATTGTCTGAAGTATATGGAGGAAGTGTTTATATATTGAAATAAAGAAATAAAATGGATCTGAATTTAATTACACTTAAATTTAAGCCTATGTAAACAATGTTTACAAAAGTATTTTGAGTATAATCCGAAGATATTCAAGTCAGGGAAGATTATAAGTCTCAAAAGAGTTCATTCATCTGATTGTTTACAGCATAGAACGCAGAGTAATTGTTAAGTGATCCATAATATTTAATTGTACAATTACACATCAATAGCCATTAACTTTATGAATGACTGTGTATATTCATCTATGCTAATATTTGATTATTTCTCAATATTATGAGTCGAATGAAATTTGTTATGATGACTAGATCTACAGTAGTGCACGTCGTGGTGACGGACAAATGAATGTCGAAAAATGAACGATTCTCAATGTGTTTTTGGTCTTTCCATATGAAAGACGCTGATTGGTCTCTATTAGACTCACATTTATGCTAAAGAATCCATACTTTTAAAATCTCTATGATTATCAACGGCTTGAAATCTACCTCCTTTGTTTAGAAATTGAATGACATGTATTTAAATACAAAACGTTTTTTATGCAACTACTAGGATTTAAACATGGTTTAACGAACGAAACAAAACAATTAGTGAATAAAAGTGAACACACATTATTCATGGGTTTGAAAGTAATCTTTATCATATGAGAAACGATTTGTAAGTGGAAGATACTATACACTGATTTTACCGTACATGTTACTTTGCGAAATTGAGTACTAACCATCACAGTTGATGTGATCGCTGTGACATCAAGAAGTAGGTGAGAATGAGAATATTCAAATGCCGAGTAGAAGTTTGAAGTTTCGCATTATTCATCTATGTAGTTTCTAAATATCTATTTCAAAATTACATGTTAATTATCATGATGTTAATGTAGTATCCTTCAAAATTTTATTAAAATAACTGCTTTCAAATAATTGTACAACAGGTTTTTGGGCATTAATATTAACTGTCCCAATATTCCAAAATTATTTCGAGTGTGAACTTTTTATCCTATTTATAAGACAGAATATTGCGATTTTATTAATTTACCTCCACAGTTGAAAATTTTTCTTACAGCTGTTGTTGATAATGTATTTTTCGTAATTTGTCAGCCAACTGTCCACCGATAGGAACAATAACAGCCATTACTAAGTGTGGCAATGCAGACAAAAATCCAGTCTAGAAGAAAAAATAAACAAAAAGTTGTTTAATAAAGTGATTGTGTCTTGTTGAATTCATATGTTTTGGTGTAGAAAGTATAAAACTTATCAGAAACCTTCTGTTGAAGCATTTGGTTTTACGCTCTTGCTTCATTTAGACAAATCTTGTTGAAAAATACTATCTCAGAAGTATAGCATATTTATCTGACCATGTTGTTATCGGTTCTAAAATTAAATTGAAAGACCTCACTTCATAGGCTGAGAAGAGACTCCATGTTGTCAAGTCATCCAGGTATATCATAGTCAGTAATAACAGTTATGTTTTGATTTATTTAGTCACTCAATTGTAGATATTTGAGAATAATTACTATTCCAGAATTAATTGGAGTTATTATTTTTACTGTTTTAATTTTTTTTCCATCATGACTGTGTTATACTTGACACATTCATAGAATGATAAAATGATATTGTCGTCGTAGAAAACTTTACATTTTTCATGTAAACCAGCAAAAATTATAGAGAATGAAATATGCCTTCCATCATGGATTATGATAGCGTAAATAATAATTCCCGCTTCATTTTGGTTGGTTGCCAGATGCAAGGTCGAAATTGAGAACGAGAGTGGAGTTTGCCCTCACTCCAATTCATATGGGAAAAAACTTATAAAATATATAGTTTACTTTCAAGTTCCACAATCATAGTATGTATTTTAAAACTGGACATTGCTCCTTGACGTTCGTACAAACGACTTGGTCATTGTTGTAATTAATCAAAGTACTTATAACACATCCAAGATCTAACATTCAATGATTGAAATATTTAAAAACTCATGCTAAATAACAATTGGTTTCAATGTACTATGTTTACCTCAGCTAAATTATAACCAAATACTTCACGAAAATATTTTGGCGACTTTGTAATTAATAAATAGAATGACCAACTTCTTGCAAAATTCGCAATAATTATTGCATAGACAGGAAGTGATGTAAAGAATTTTCTCCAAGGAATTGGTATTTTCTATAAATAAATTAATGAAAATATAATGGATTAAGTGAAATAGTCAGTCAATTTGTTGCTTTTTTTTCTTTTTGTTGTTGTTGTTCTGTTCCGTATGAATATGTTAGACTGTAGCAGAAAACAATAGATTTTATGCACAAATCAATGTTTGTAAACAAAAGTCATGAAAATTATTCACCAAATTAATGATATATTATATGAGTGAAATTTGTAAAAACAAAACAAAATTATGTAAATTATTCACCAGTTACAGATCAATATGATACTGAATTCATGATGGGAAATCATGAATTCTACTTACTTTGTTAAGTATGCATAGATATTGAAAGAATTTATTTTAACATAGCAACAATCAATGTGAAATTATGATTCTAACTTTTTCTCAAGTTGAAAATAAAATACCGATCATATATATATATATATATATATATATATATATATATATATATATATATATATATATATATATATATTGGTTAATTAGTTCAACTCAATCTCGCAATAGTTTGGTAGTGATCCACGTATATAAGTCATGAAGCCTTAGACTGATATTTTGGTTAACGTACATTCAAGTCAATGATAAATAGTATATGATTTCTAACGAGTTTAATATAGAATAAAATGTGGATCCAAGTCTCATTGTTAAGTAATACCAATGACCAAAGTTACTACAAAGATGTTACATTTATGTAGCATTATTTAGGCAGGTATATGTAGTTGATATATCTCAAGTGGCACAAGGCGTATGACTTGAATTCCACTTATGACCATTAGTTAACTTTAACAAAACGTTGTATCTAAATAAGAAAATCTAAGCACCTATACTAAAATAGACTTTTCAACTGTAGTTCATAATGTAGAAATAAAAAGCTTAACAAATATATAAATTTATTTTATTTCTCAAAATTGGAATATTATTCAACGTTGAACGCAAGTAAACTAAATAAAGGAATCAATATATCTGTAGTTAAAATAATATACGTTTAGGGCGTTTACATTTTTAAAAAAAACCAAAAACGCTACTTATTATTTAGATGATACTAATCGATTTATATCATGAAAATGGAATCAAATGTTACCCCGAGATTTTAATTTGTATCTTTATTAAACATGGTCTCTTAAGTAAGAAAAATTGGAAACAATTACTCTAAATTATATGTACTTTGAATAATTGTTATAGTATCTTGTTTATATAAATAAGAAAATTATATAAAGTGTATGACAGGAGAATGTAAATCTCTTTTTCAAATTGCTCCGATTTGAATTTAACTTTGTTTATTTTGGGGGCAAGTCATAGTTGCTTATTAGTAATGAAGTATATTCATTTTTTTACTAAAGAGAATATTACATCATAACTAATTCAAAGATAGATAACGATCAAAAGTTATAATTATGAAGATGTAAAATGCAAAAATAACTAGGCTTTAAATAAATTTAAAAGAATGATGTTTCAGTGAAGAGTTCTCTTCTCGACGACATCATTCTCTGAAGCTATACGATCGTATTTATAAGTGATTTTTTAAATATTTATTAGTCTACAGTAAACTAAAAGAGTTTTACAGAATTATCACAGTCAAGTGGAGGTTAATGAAAATGAAGTGGTCAAGATCTTCAAAATTTTAAATACTGAGTATGATCATTTACAAATGGTGAAGTGTTATTTCATTGCAATTAAGTCTCAAAAGACCCGATGAAATAAACAATTCAGCGTCGTCACACAACGAGATTATATGCTCCTTTAGTGTTACATTCCAATATGCACATAATGCTTTAATTTCTTAAACTTTAGGTATTGAATAAAAAAAGGGTTGAATCATTTACTAAATTAGTTAAAAACCTTCAAGAGCTTACGCTAGGTAATAGTTTTGGAAGTTCCCCCAAAGGCCCTGGTACGGCTGAGAGTAGGGACAGTCAGCTCTCCCTCACAAAATACTCTCACATCGCCACGCGTATATAGCCTCTGCCAGGGAAGTCCTACTCACTGCTTTCTCGTGGCAGGGGTGTTGTTTACGAAATTGAGAAGACGAAAAGTGAGGGTCCGGCGCTTCAACCGGGTTGGTGGACATGGTGAGTCCACCTAGGGGAGATGAAAAACCCTGATTCCAAACCAATGGTGCACATGGGCTCCAGTATCCTGAAGGAACAAATGGGGTACGAACCAATCTTTGGCCACCGGCTACCATGGAACTGCATCTTCTTACGATGCTCCACTACCTTGTGGATCAGACTTTTAGGCTCCGGGTGTGGCCCCCTAAGAAAACCACCTGATTCGGTTTGGGCACGATCAACCACGATACTGAAAACGATGAAATGTGAGTTATTCACTGATAACCAGCTGTTCGAACATTTAAGGCCATCGGGTTCTTCTATCCCACGATTATATGAGCAGCCGAAGATACATAAGAAGGATCTTCTCTTTGCCCGATAATGGATATCAATAATTATTCATACCACGTGATTGTCAAATGGCTGATGGAGATTCTACAATCGGTCAGAAACCGGATCTGAGAACGTAACATTTCAGGTTCTTTTGAGTTCGAGGACTCAATAATCAACGCCATTGTACCAGGAAAGAAAATGATCTCGTTAGATCTCACTTCTCTGTTCACAGAAAGTATTTGCTTTTTACACAATTATATTGACGTTAATAAAGTTAAATTTGATGCACCAAAACATTTTCTTAGAGAGCTACTCCTATGCAGCACTTCCAGCGTGCAGTTTTAAGTTTAATGATGATCTCCCTAGACAAATAAATGGTGTCATGATGGCTTCTCCATTGGGCCTCCTTCCAGATGGCTGTTTTATGGCCAGACTGGAGTACACTAGCCTTCCGTAAACAATCGATAAATCTCATCTTTATTTGACATTAAGTTTTACTTTGGAGTCATATATACAAGAAATATATTGTTGATTATTTTCTTAAGAATTTATAATATCGGTGAATTGAATGAGAACTCACACTTTCGTTGATTGTAGGCGACTCCCCAATTGAAGTCTCAATATATGTTCGTTCAGCTTCTGATATAGTTGGATGTAAAGACGGGCGTTCATGCGTTACATTCCACCACCAAAAGAACCACATAATACCGATAACACCTAATTAAACAATTCGAAAAATTACGGATAAATAATTTCACTTACTACTTAAGCACAAAAAACTATTGAAAATTTAGTATTTGAGAAGATTATGAATTTTTCTTCTTCTTATAAAAATACGTTTAAATCAACGTCTATTTACAAGTGTTGATAATTTTTCATTACCCCTTGTAATGTTGAGATGCTATCGATCTATGAATAACTGTAGATATTAATAGCGTCATAACAATTTTAAAATAACTCAGAATAAAGTAAAGTTTGGGTTGGATTCACTATCTATTCCATCGGCAAATATGCTTTGTATCAAAAGTGTTGGTATTGAATATTATAAACATTCTGACTGATACCTAGAAACCAAATTTATCTTTACAAAACCTCCGAATTGTACATATAGATCTGTGCTTTCTAGTGACCTATTTTATGATGTAATACTTAGATTCTAATGGGAAGCTGTGATCAGTGTGTTCAGTCACGGTAAATGAAATACAGCCATTACCAGTGATATAAAATAAATATCTTGACATGGTGCAAGTTGATTAGAGCTATTGTATCACAACTTAGCTATTTAACGGGCAAAGTCCACATAGTTAGTACTCATAGTCCCGAGTCCGATTCCTGGCAATGTTGCGGGTGCATGTTGTTTAGAAGTCACTGTTGTAAGGTGTGGACTGCAAGTTTTGATAAGCAGTGTTTTATCGATCGATCACAATAACACGAAAAACACGTATGGACGACCTAGAGCCCTGATTGGCCTCGCTTCGCAGTCTGTCCCAGCCAGTTGAGTCAGGAACACAAGTCACAGCCTCTGAGTTATGAACCATTTTATTTCGGACATACTCTATTTATATACTAAACAAACAAACCACATCGTACCATAAAAATAGAAAAACAACATTTACACAATATGTAACGAATGAACTGAATAATAGCCAATAGGAAATGTCCATTTAACGTCCAAGGACACCATTCGACTTAACACGAAAATTATTGGTACATTCCTCTGCATACCTAACAGTCACACACTAAGAAAAATAGCTATTCAGTGTCTTTTTATTGGGACCAAAACCCATGCCTTCCCTGAGCAATTCAGCCCACATATAAAAGTATTCCATACTAAATATACGTAACCCATCTTATCAGTTTTTTTAATTCCATGAATCTTATGTGACAGCAATTAACAGCAGCCGAACACGAGCAGAGAAAGTCCAAGCACAAGCAGAATACATAGAAGCAAACAAACAAGTGAAGAAAAGCATTAGAGCCGACAAGAAGAAATACGTGGAAAAACTAGCAAAGACGGCGGAAAAAGCTGCTGGTGAAGGAAATATGAAACAGCTTCACGATACAACGAAAAAACTAGCAGGGAAATACAGTAAACCAGAGAGACCGGTCAAGGCCAACAAGGCAGACCAATCACTGAAATTCAACAACAGCGAGACGGATGGATGGAGTACTTCGAGGAACTCCTGAATGGACCGGCTTCAATGGATCCACCGAACATCGAAGCAGCACACACAGATCTTCCTATAGATGTCAACCCACCAACGACGGAAGAAATCAGAATGGCCGTCAGACAAATCAAGGACGGGAAAGCAGAGGGACCCGATAACATACCATCTGAAGCACTGAAGTTAGACATCGGAGCAACTACAAACTGCTTTATCTTCTATTCAAAAAGATTTGGGAGGAGGAACAAGTGCCGATGGACTGGAAAGAAGGACACCTCGTCAAGATTCCAAAGAAACGAGACCTGAGCAAATGTGAAAACTACAGAGGAATCACACTACTGACAGTGCCAGGAAAAGTCTTTAACAGAGTGTTGCTGAACCGGATGAAGGATGCAGTAGACGCCCAACTTCGAGATCAACAAGCTGGATTCCGTAAGCATCGATCGTGCACAGACCAAATTGCAACACTACGGATCATCGTCGAACAATCAGTTGAGTGGAACTCATCACTATACATCAACTTCATTGATTATGAAAAGGCATTCGACAGTGTACATAGGAGGACATTATGGAAACTTCTTCGACACTACGGAGTTCCTGAGAAGATTGTCAACATTATCCGGAACTCATACGACGGACTACAGTGCAAAGTAGTGCATGGAGGACAGCTGACAGATGCATTCCAAGTAAGGACTGGAGTCAGACAAGGCTGTCTACTCTCCCGCCTCCTCTTTCTTCTGGTGGTCGACTGGATTATGAATATTTCGACATCTGAAGGAAAACACGGAATACAATGGACAACTCAGAATCAATTAGACGATTTGGACTTCGTAGATTATCTAGCCCTCCTATCGCATACACACAAACAAATGCAGATAAAGACAGACAATGTAGCAGCAGTCTCTACATCAGTAGGCCTCAACATAAACAAGGGGAAAACCAAGGTCCCCAAATACAACACGGAGAACAGCAATCCAATCACTCTTGATGGCGAAACTCTGGGAGATGTACAATCCTTCACATACATGGGAAGCATCATCGATGAACAAGGAGGATCGGACGAAGGCGTAAAGACGAGGATTGGAAAAGCAACGGCCGCATTCATTCAATTGAAGAACATATGGAACTCAAAACAACTATTGCCAAGACAACATCAAAGCCAGAACCTTCCATATGAATTTCAACACAGTTCTACTGTACGAAGATGAAACTTGAAGAACTACAACAACCACCATCAAGAAGGTACAAGGACTTATAAATAGTTGTCTGTGCAAGATACTCAACATCCATTGGCCGGATATCATCAGCGACAGCCTTCTCTGGGAGAGAACAAACCAGCTTGCAGCTGAAGAAGAAATTAGGAAAAGACGATGGAAATGGATAGGACATACACTACACAAATCATCAAACTGCATCACGAGGCAATCCCCAACTTGGAATCCTGAAGGGAAATTGAAAAGAGGAAGGCCAAAGAACACACAACGTCGAGAAATAGAAGCAGACATGAAAAAGTTGAATAAGAACTGGAAAGAGCTGGGAAGGATTTCCCAGGACAGGGTTGGATGGAGAATGCTGGTGCGTGGCCTATGCTACTTCACGAGGAATAGCAGGCGTAAGTATGTAAAATTTAGGCAGCTGATGAGAAACTACTAAATATAATGAATTTATATGATTCTGCATCCATGTTTTTTCCATTAATCATCTTAAACAAAATCAACTCCACTCAAATGATATTTTTCAATAGTACTGTTTATCTACAGTATTCCTATATCGAACGAATATTCCAGTGAATTTATTATTTCTTAATATTTCCTTTCAGATAAATACATATCACAAAAGCTTTGAAAACATATTGTGAATAAAGTTTTTTTTTGGAATTCGTATCTGAGGCACACATAAAGGGTCGGCATATTTTTGCCAACTTACGGTCACATTTTTTAATGAAACCCTGTTACCTTGCCTGTTTCGCCAACAATAATTAAAGAAGCCTTTTTAAGAGCTTATGGTCAAGCGTCAGTTAAAATGATAGACAGTAAACTTTCTCTATATATCCAAAATTATCATCTTATGATGGAAATATTAATTTTAATGACATAAAAGCAAATACATTCTTATCATATAATAAACTATTTTACCATAGAAATAAAAAGGTGACTGCCAACCCATTTGTTGAGCTAGTAGACCGGAAAGTGATAATCCAAGTACTGCACCTGCATACGAACCTACATTGATTCAAAAAAAAATTAAAAAAAGAACAAATTACTTGTACATAGTACATTATTTAAAACAAATATAGCTTTTAAATATAAGTCTTGCTTATTTGTTAGCTTAGTGAAGCTACTATCTGAATTGATCAGCAAACATCAATTTTGTTAGTATGGCAGTTTATTCATTGTCCTTAGTGAAAAAATTGATGGACTATGGATAGAAGAAGTAATACTTTGCGAAAGAAAATGAAAATGTTTATTGTTTCGAAAGTCAATAATTTGTGTGTAGTATGCCATAGTTAAAACTTCTCTAATCTTTACTTGTATGATATAAACAAGTTTTGAAGTAAATTTCTGTCAAATATTTTTGAATGAATTATTTTTTACTGGTATTGGTACATGTTATAACTCCGCCTAGAGCCCCTCGTGGGCTACTACCGGTCCCAATCCCCGATAAAAGAGGAGGGTTGGGCATGGGATTAGCGACCATATCCTTTAGAAAACTAACTTAATAAAAAAACGCTAACAAGAAAATATAATTCGAACCATTTAAACTCTGCCCTAGGAGTCAGAACGTCTTCATTTAGAAGAGTTATGACGCCTCATGGTGAAAGCCGAGTTCCTTCGGAAGTCGCGAGGCTGATGCTTCTTCTGACAACCAGAGCAACCATTAATTTAGGTACAATGTGAGAAACCGGGAGAGTCATCCAAATCGCTGCAGTTCACGTTATGTTTACCAAGTCAACTCATCTGTTTAAATAGTGTATTCGGTATGTCAGAACAATAAGTCAATTATCATCAATATATGTTGTCAGTAAAAAAGCTGAAGTAACGCTCATTGACAGGATAAATTATAAATATACATTAAATAATAGAATCAGTGATTAAACTGACAAGAACTTTTGACTGTATACGTATGTAATTTTATATGTAAATCATAAAAATCAAGGTAATTTACACTTTTCAGAGTTTTATTGTTCATAAAAGAATGTAACGTTATTAAATTATATGAAACAAAGTTATTATAACTTAATTTAGAAGAAACTTACCACAAAATGCAATTGTTGCTAGTCGAGAACGTTCAAGTGGTGGAGCCCAATATCTCCATATACCATGACATGCAGGATAAGACGTACCCTATACAAAAAAAAATCATTCCATATATGAAAATGATTAATGGCTAAAAAAACTGAAAATGTGTATGTTTTAGAACATCATTATTCGTTGATCAGGCAATTACTATAGTTTGACTTACGTGATTTAAAAAAATATGAAAAAGTTTCAGTCATTCTATTAAATAATGTAACTGTACCTTTCGAATGAATGGTTTGCAGAAGTTAGATTAGTGTAATAACGCAATGACATTAGCTGAAGAACAACTTGAAATTAAAGAACACCCACCCAAGTTTTCGCTTTATTTTGAGACGCTTAGCGGTGTATACCTACTGTTACACATAAACAATTATTTATTTTGATAGTCATATAATTTTAGACTATTGAGTAGATATCCAATGGTCCTGTTTTACAGTCTATCCTGACGAATAATATACGAAAATAAACGAATCCCAAATGAACTTTTTCTTCACAAATTACCCAAACAAACTAAGTTAGAAGTGAATTGGTTAGATGAACATTTGAGATGGTAGACAAGGTTTGTAGCTCAGGTGGATGATTTTGATGGAGTTTTGTTCTCTGAGCTGGATGGTTTGGTTGTGGAACTTTCATCGTGGCCATCTTTTTCTAAAAATAAATTTAATAACATCTCCATCTACATTTTCTATTGATTCTTGGTAGTTCAAGAGATGTAGTTTCCAGTGTTTTCTAATTCCATTTTACTTCAAACTATCAAATAGTCACAAATTAGAAGCATGTAATGTTAAGTTATAACTTAGTGGTCGAAAGAACTTAATCTTTTAAGCTTTAAACACTTTAATAAAATGTTTTAAAAGAACAATGCAATTTCTTCAAATAATGGAATTAAATTAAATGTATAAAACAAAACATCTGAGCGTCAACCTCGTAATCTTGTAAAATCATAATAAAGCTTAATTTCATGTAAACGTTTTAGGTAATCGCTGACTACAACTAATATACCACGTTTGATTGAAGTGAATTGATAAAAAGATATAAATCAACACCAATAGTTATTCTCAACTGCTTCCAGTTTTTCCATTTGTAGTGTTATTTTATAACATATTACATAAACTATCAAATACATCGAACAAACTCCATTATATATATATATATAGATAGATAGATAGATAGATAGATAGATAGTGAAGTAATTATAATGATTCCATTGAATTTTACGTGATAGTTTCTTCAGAATGTTGTCTACCCACAGTTTATTTTTTTTAAAAAGCGTAATATAAATTTAAACAAAGTGAAGTTCTTCTATTCAGATATTTGAACATTTTTGTTTGGATTTTACTTCGTAAAATAAAAACTTTCTATATCTGTAAGTATTGACTAGAATATTTTATCCAAATTAAATGGAGTTATATCACTATGTTCTAATTTGTTGAATTCATTCATTAATATAATACTTTGAATCGTTTAGGAAATCAAAACAGATGTCAACCAATATCTACGGTGAGAATCTTTAATACTATCGACAAGACAGTCCTACTGTACGGAAATGAAACATGTAAAACTACTACAACAATCATCAGAAAAATACAAGTATTCATAAAAAGTTGTCTACGCAAGATACTCAATATCCATTGACCAGATACCATCGGCAACAATCTACCGTGGGAGAGAACAAATCAACTTCCAACTGAAGAGGAAATTAGGAAATGGCGTTGGAAATGGATAGGATATACATTGAGAAAATCACTAAACTGCACCACGAGGCAAGCCCTAACTTGGAATCCTGAAGGGGAATTGAAAACAGGAAGGCCTAAGAACACACCACGTCACGGAATGGAAGCAGATATGAAAAGGATGAATTACAACTGGACGGAGCTAGAAAGGATTGCCCTGGAGAGGGTCGGATGTAGATTGCTGGTGGGTGGCTTATACTCCTCCATGAGGGGTAACAGGCGTAAATAAGTAAGTTGAAGTTTTTTAATGACTGGTTGGATGGTGTTACAAATTTATCATAGTATTTTAGAAATCTAATGAGAATATTTTAAAATATTTTTTATAGAATATTTTTGGAAGAGATAGTAATAGCTCAAGAAAATACAACAATTCAAAAGTTTCTTAACTTAATTTTAACATCAACTGACCATTTTAACCAAAAATATACAACAGTATTCAATAGTTATTATGTGTTAATAATAATCAAGAATTTTTCATAGTTACACTAAATTAAAACAAAAAAATTAAAACAACTAATTAAATAATTGAGATCATGAACCGATGAATTTAAACTACTATAGAAACCTGGAAGAACTGGACGGCCGTTTCGTCCTATTGTGGGGCCTCTCAGCCGTGTGCAACCACGATCCCGCTCGTGGAATTCGAACCCAAGGTTTTCAGGTTTTCAGTGATGGTCTAACAATAATCAGTTCATGATCCCAATCAAAACCTTGATAATCTCCACAACTCCTATACTTATAATTATATAATGTTCAATTATACTTTTTTTCTTTTACCTCAACTAAACCTTGTAACATTCTAATTGTCATAACTAATCCAAAATGAATTTTACAAGCAGCTGGTAATAATAAATTTAAAAAGCACTTCCACCAACAGCTATACCAAATAATCTGTTAGCTGGAAATTTAGCTGCTATTACTCCACCAGGTATTTGAGTTATTAAATAACCATAAAGAATGAACTATCCACAAATCCTCTTTGACCAGCTGTCCAATAAAAATCTGGTTTCTATAATGAATGAAATAAAAATTCGAATAGAAACAAACAACAACAATGAAGATTAACATATAACAGTGTGAAATCAATTTCATTTATCTGAATAATAATTTATGATTGAATTCTGAATAAACATTGGTAACATAAAACTATTCATTTTTGGTTCAGTTAAATCAATCAAAGAAGATACTGTCAATAAAATTAAACTGGTTATAATTGAAAACTCATTTTGTTCTTCACTAATCTATAAGAAATTAGTTAGTAGTTAGTAAAGATGTTTAATTTTTTTCCTAACAAAATTTTAATTAATTTATTAATTGTTTAACTATTCTATGACAATCTCATTCAGGTTATAAGCAAAGAAAGATAGTGGATAACAGTGGAATACCGGGCATGTATTTCTTCCTGTTTGAAACTCGTCAGCTGGTTGTACCTGCATCTCAGAGTTGATGTGGAATCTGTGGCTCGAATCCAGTACTGTTCGCTTTAAACGCTATCGCATAGCCATTTAGCTACTGAGCCCTGATGGCCACTTGCTTGTACAATGGGGCAAAGTTTACTTGAATCTTCCCATTGATGTTTAGGACTGCCATTGATTGGTCTCTGGTATTGGGTTCGAGTTCAAGAGTGAACATCAACTCTGAAATGCAGGTACATCCAGCTGACAAGTCCCAAATAGGACGAGACGCGCGTCCTGCATTCCACTGCTAGCCACTATCCATTTTCGCTTATAATGCTTGTGAATTAAGGCGATATCGATACAATACGCACAGTATACACATATTCCAATAAGAGATTGATCAATTATAGTCCTAAACATCAATGGGAAAATTCAAATAAACATTACCAAGTGAATTTCATTCAGGTTATTTTGTTTTAATTGTTGATTAGTAATGATGTTCACCGGTATCATCTAGATTTTAATCTACTATTCAATCCCCGATTCTCATAGTCTAAATAATATCAACTTCTCAAGTTCAATAAACACAAAAATATAGAATTATACTAAAATGATATGCCATTGATTCCGTTTACTGTTTATTAGCCCATGAATCGAATAGTAAAGAAGTAGAAATAAAACATCATGCATCATCAAGTGGAAACATATCACGATTGAGTCTTTTTTAGTTTAGTTGCTCGATAATTAATGATCGAAGTCATTTATTACACAGCACTCAGTTAAAATGCTTATCCATTCATAATAATAATAATAATAGTTTATTACCTTATTGGTGATGAAAACGTCATACGCGTAACTTCGGTTAAAAGTGGAATATATTATTCACTATTAGGAAGACTTTACTTAAATTAATAATTTAAGAAAGTAGTGCACTGTAACTTTGACTATACTATACTATACTATAATACTATACATTTACCATACAGTATTCAAATGTTAGATTAATAGCTTCATTATTCTCGCAATACACTGTTATTGATAACTTTCATATCAAAAGTTGGAAATAATTATCAAACAGATTTGTTCGACAGCTAATTTTTTGATAGTTATCAATCGAAAAGTTCAATTGATCAATACCATGTTTGAGACTCTAAAGTTGTATTGTCTGCGAAACTGACGGGATCGTAGGTTGACTTTAGGAGGTTTAAAAGTTTATGGAATATCGTCGAAAAATTATACAGATAATAATGACTAATTTTAAGCACAGGTGGTTGGTGGCCAACAGTGGATACAGGATGTGTGTTTCGTCCCATTTGGGACTCATCAGTTGGATGTACCTGAATCTCAGAGTTGGTGTTCAGACCAGAACTCGAACCCAGTACCGTCCGCTTCAATAGAAAATAAAATATTGGTTTTATCTTAGTTGAAACTTTTAAAAGGGACTTTTTCCTAACATTTCTGGATTAAACCTGTATAATATTTTAGCATAAACCTGCGGAACATACATCACTTAATAATTACATATTTCATACAACTCAATGTTTAGATAATCAGTTTATGTTGAAATTGTTATTTACAACTCACCGCCGTTACATTCATCAGTCCACCAAATCCAACCACATGATCACCAGATTCATGATGTGTATGTTCATAATGTTTAGAATGTGGTAAATGAGACAGATTTGCTGCTATGTGTCTAGCTTGCATAGTCAACATAGCCCAGCTCATATTACAACGAATACCAAATGTAATCATAAAACCTAGACTTGATAGCCATGCCGTATAATAACGCTTTGAACAATGACAGCATAAGAAGTACATGCATTTGCCTTGACATGTGTTGTCAGTGTACGCTGTCCCACCTGATCCATCAGTGTTCATTTGTCCATACCCTGCATTGGCTTCAGACTTGACAACTCCTTTGTTCGTTAAGAAACTGAAATGGTATAGAATAAAAGTATCATCATTTAGTTTACTTTTTAAATTCATTTATGGATATATCGTTTGTGTCATAATAATTATCTTAAACTTAAATGTCCCATCGATTTCTACTAAAATTATTAAACCTGTATTAACGGTGGTCCACACAAGTTCATTGTCTCATAATCTTTCACTGAGTAAGATGATAAAACGGCTAACACTATAAATGTGTATAAATGTTTTTGGTTGAACTTGTAGGGATATATAACTTTTAATCTTTAGATTTATTATCTATCAGAAGTGACTGAAATGAAAAAACATGGTTACCCGCATTCCTAATTCATGACTAAATTCGATTAATTATCCGTATAATGTTTCTTAGAAATCAACTGTTTCATAGTACAGTTATCTCAATGTATTTTCTAAATGATTTGTTCTAAGCTATCGTCTCAGAATTTATTACTAAATATTATAATTTGGTTAATCTTTAACTGGAAGGTCAATATACTACAAAAACAGTTCCATTATGTAAATATTTTACGTAAAAGTATCCTAAACCTGTTTAAAAAATACCTGTAATTAAATGTATAATTAATTTAAACCAAAAGTTACTTCTATAGTTTCCTAAATATCTTAAACTATAGTTTTGCTAACTAAAATCTGTGACATACCTTTCTGGCTTCGGTTTAGTTGTGCAAACTGACTAAACATCTTAAACCGAGTTCCTGTGAGAACTGCAGTATCTGGAAAAGGTACTTCCTAGAACAATTTACGTATTCTCGATTATGGAACATCGTTAAGAAATAGATCATGTGGTAGCATTGTATATTGATCAAATCTAACTATTTTGCCTTTGAAAAGGAGCAACATTACATGTTCAATACTTTCGCAAGATATATGTATATTAAAACTACGACAATAAAAACAATTTTCGAGCCTAAAATTGCTTACTAGGAAAAGGATGCTCTGCTTCTGATCGGCAGTTTTTGAAAAATACGCTTACCTTCAAAACGTTTTTATTTAGAAGTGTTGGTATAAATTGTATTTGAATTTATTATTTTGTTAAAACTAATAGCCAAAGACACAAAGTGATAGTTTATGTAGATTTCTTTTTAACTGCTAACAGAGTCATTTACCCATGTATTACAAGATTCGGAAGGTATTGTATAATTTCAGCTGGACGATTTAGTTATGAAGCTTACATCACCTTTCTAAACAACATCATCACTATATATTTCAAAGAGGAATAAGCTGTAAGAAGTTCTTCACGATTAACTGTCAGCATATTTCGTTGACTACTAATTTCTGCTGACTTTCTTTGAAGTTCATGCTGATGATGTTGTTAAAAAGAACAATGAAAGCTTCATGGCTTAAACACTTCACTTCATAGAACACAGCACTTTCACAATCCCTATCATAAGCTATGAATATTTTTTGTCTTGTATTTTGAAAAAGTTTAAAACACTATCTCATAAGAAAATATTATTGAATTCAGAAAATAGCTTCTTCAGGTAATCATAATCAATTTTTATTGCATGTTGACTCATAAATTATTATACTGGTTTCTAGTCTAAGCAGTAACTGAATATTTGCCAGCATTGTCGTCATCTAACTGACACAATTAATAATTCCTGTTCATGGTATAATGCAGTATTGTAGATTTGTGAAATATAGAAGATAGTTTTGCATTTTTCTAATAAATTAACTTCACCAAAATTATTAGATGATTTGTCAACCTTTACTACTTGTTTAAATTAGTTTTAATCTTAAATAAAGTTGAACAAAGCTGACAGATTGAGAAATCTTGAACAATAAAATAGTGAGTATATGGATGTATATTGTTAAACAATATCAGAATGGTATACACAAAAAATATTTTTTGTTTGATTGAAATCAACAACTACAATCAGTCCTACTAAAGTTGTTTTTCTTTGTAATTACCATGGCATGTAAACGTATAACTTTATGATACTACTTATTATATCATGTTGATCACTGTAAAAGTAGTATGTTTTTCATATAACTTGACAGTTAAGTAGTCAAATATTTGATTTTTTTTCAATAGTTTGAAAAACTATTCATCACTAGGTAATATTTATGAGTGAGACCTAAAAAGAATGTATACGTTAAAGTATTATACCAGGTATTGGACTAAAAGGAATAGATTTAATTGATTGATTAATATATATATTGATTAAATTATCTAGCTAGGCATTCTTTTACCTAGCATTGTACTGTATCATCAATACACTTTATTTGACATAATGTTATGTGAACTTTGTTGTAGATATCTGTCGATGCCGGAAATTGTTACAAACTTTTAATGATCTTTTTTTCTTATTAAAAACAAAATTCCATTCAACTGTACTTCTTTTCGTGTTATTAATATTTCCTATTGAAAATTGAATCTATGTAGACTCATTGACAGGAAATGATATTTTTAATAAAAGAATATTTTTATATGAAAAATCTAATTCATTTCCTTCCTGTCAATTCATTTACTTTATAAGGACATACATATACACTAACTAACTAACTAAATCAGTTACCTATGGACTCAATGATTTACTAACTCATCTATTCACTTTTCACTTCAATAACCTAATGAATATTTAATGGATTATAAATTATTATACATAAAGGTGTGTGTGCATGTGTCTGTGAGTGTTTATACTACTCAGCATAAGTAGATATACATGACTTTAATACAACTACTCCTGTCTAATTCATTCCATTTTATCTATATAGATGCTTACCATAAATAAATTTATTCTAATGTAAATCAATAAACTTTAATTATCAATAATTATAATAATAATTAAAACTATATAACTAGTAAGTCATTAAACTTTACAACCAACAATTGACGTTTATTTTTTCAGTTCTAAGTGAATTATTCAAGTTACTAACGCGTAATACATTTATACACGCAAACATATGAAAATATACTCATAGAATAAGCATGTTTTATCGACGGAGAGATCAATACATTTGAATATGAGTTATACTTTGTTTTCCTGTGTTAAATAATCAGTTAAGGAGATTAGAAATTTAAGTTTTTAGAAAGAAAAATAAATCCTGGTCAAATAACGTTTTAACAGAACAATATAGAAAACATATACATGTTAATCGTTCTGTTAAAGTATTATTCTCTGATCAAACAGATTACTACATTTTCAATTCAAAATTCTGACCTATTTCATTCATAGACTAGTGAACAGTGGGTTATGTCAATGAATTATCGAAATTTTATTTTTATTACTATCATATCAGTAGAATTCAAATTTCGTTAAATCATTTCAACATACATTCAACTTAGTATTCTTTTGAATACATTTAAAAGAATTTCTATGATTTTAATTGAATCGTACACTTCTGACACATTTCGTAATACTGATAGTGTAGTGAACAAGAGCACGAGTGGGGACAATCGAATGTATTTGACACGAAATTACAGAGCATCACAATATAATCCGTGAACCATATAGTAAATAATTCACTTAGTATTGTTTTACTTGAATCTTCCCATTGATGTTTTAGGACTGAAATTGATCAGTCTCTTATTGGCATATGTGCATACTGTGCGTATACCTCGATATTGCCTTAATTTACAAACATTATCAGCAAAGATGGATAGTAATTAAGTGGATAACACGATGGTGTTTGAAGCGGACGGTACTGAGTTCGAGTCCCAGAGTGAACATCAACTCTGAGATGCAGGTACATCCAGTTGAAGAGTCCCAAACAGGACGAAACGTGCGTCCTGGATTCCACTGCTAGCCACTATCCATCTTTGCTCATTTAGTAAATAGTTAATTTGTGAAATATCAATCCATCGTCTCAAATTTGACTGTGCAAATATCAGTCCATTGTCACATATTTCATTGTTCATGCATTTTTACACCAATTGCATTGCGTTCGCGTTCTTTCCTTCTCGATCTTCTACTGAAATACATTCTATGACTGACCACCGTTGTAAACTACTTATATGGATATAAGTAACTCACACCATAGTAGCATAAGCTGTGGTTTTATGACCCCATTAGCATAATTCTATCATAGGCATGCCTCGATTTTTTCTGTTAAACCTCCTTTCTTGTTTTAATGAATCTGGCCATTAAAATCTAAGCAGCTTTTCAACGGTCGCTTGATAAACAACTTATCTCAACTAGAGTTTAGTATAATCAGTGTTTAGGTGTTAAACTCGAACTTATTGTATTCGTCATACTCTGCTCAACATTTGCTATCTACTTATAGTTTTCAGCTAACTTACTATTGATGAATTCATTTGTCATTAAGCTGAAATGTTGGTCGATCTAAAAAGTTATAAATTTCATTAGATGAATGATTCGTTTATATAAACCCATAACTTAATTTACCCTTGCGGGTAAATGATGGAAAATACTAATCGTACTATTGTGATCCTATTGAGTGTTTCAACGCCAAAGTCTATGATTATTGAATAAGAGTGAGAAGGAAGCATTACGAATTTAAACCGTCTCACTTGGATAGGATTTCCAAAACTTTATGTCTTGTAGTGTTTATCCACTAGTGAACAAACATATTAGGCTTTTTTGTTCTATTATTAACAACCTTTAGTTCCTAACAATTCAGTTTATTAGTACATGATGTAACTCGAAAATTATAAACTAGAAGAAGAATTATGTCAAATTACAACTGACTGAATAATTAAACATCCTTTTCCTCAACATATCAGTTTATGACTTCGGTTAGTATAAAATGGTAGTTTATATACAGATCTATAAAATTTAGTAACTTCACTTATTATGTATCGTGTAAATCATGATTGCCTAGTTGTTTACTTAATATGTTTTAATGTTCAAAAACATAGTTTTACATTAATCATTACGTAACATGAATTTTGGATTCTTTTCAATAAACCATAACGTTTTCATGTTTGTCTGACATACTAAATAACATTGTACACCATAATTTATCATGTTAATTTATTATTGAAGTTATACAGTTGTAAAACTATGCCATTAGATAATAAAA